CTCCCCTCGAATCACCCCCCCCCCCCGGTCCCATCAAGGACTGCTTACCAGATATGAAAGGTGGCATTAAATACGTTGGTTTTCTTTAGCTTGTCCAGCTGCATTTGGGCATAGCGCATTTGATTATCAACACTTTTCAGCTCATCATCCAGTTCCAGCTGTTGCCGCTTGAACTCGCTGTACTCCTTCTGGTACCTCCAAGGAAGCAATCAGGGAGAGCAGATTATTCATCGTGGGTGTGAGATGCCTCCTCTCCCCAAAATTCTGTACAAAATGCATCGAGACCAACAACATCTGAGTCAGGATATAGTTGAACAAACCCTCTCACCTCTGAGGTAGTGGGAGAAGATCATTAAAAGGAGCGATTCGCCACTAGTGATAGAAAGCGGGCTTTACAATCCGAGGCCAGATCACCAAGGCTGAATCTCCAGGAGCTGCCCCTCCGTAAGCAGCTATAAGTAGAACAAAAGTCACCGTGATCAATTTACTGATATGCTTTCCAATACTATATCAATATTCCTTGCTTAATTTAACCAGGCTTAATACTCACAGTTATAATCACATAAGTATAATAAACATATACAAATAATCACACTCAAGTGTTGAAATGTGAACATCAGAGCAGTCCTCCAACCGATACTCCACGTTAGGGACGCCGCATAAATCCCGGAAAGACTCCTCAAAACAAATCTCACAACTGCACATTGTGGCTATGCCTTGTTCCACTGGGGAGACGCCCCGGACTTCACCACTTTTCCCCATATGCGTATGCAGTAATCCACTTGTGTTCCAGTTAGCAGTCCAAAGGGAATCCACTACGTATGTACACTTAGCGACAGGTGCACAGCACTTCTGTTTACAAAAGGTCACAATGACGAACAGTCGACTTGAAACGTTCATTTCACACACTCACACCAGTTTCTTCAGTCGGGAAATCAAAGCAAAGCATATCTTTTCTACCATCAATATCCAATGTTTTTTGTTCAAGACTGAAATCTCCATCATGTTATCTTACTAGTCGGCAATAGTAAGATAACACCTTGGAGATTTCAGTCTTGAATGAAAAACATTAGATATTGATCGTAGAAAAGATATGCTTGCTTTGCTGACTGTGAAGAAACCGGTGTGTGTGTGAAACGAAGTCGACTGTTGTGACCTTTTGTAAACAGAAGTGCTGTGCACCTGTTGCTAAGTGTACATACGTGGTGGATTCCCTTTGGACTGCTAACTGGAACACAGGAGTGGATTACGGCATACACATATTGGAAAAGTGGTGAAGTCCGGGGCGTCGCCCCAGTGGAACAAGGCACAGCCACAATATACAGCTGTGAGATTTGTTTTGAGGATTCTTTCCAGGATTTATGTGGTGTCCCTACCGTGGAGTATCGTTTGGAGGACTGCTATGATGCTCACATTTGAACACTTGAGTGTGATGTGGTCCATGGGGTCACAAAGAGTCAGACTGTGAGTATTAAGATAAATATAGCATTGGAAAGGATATTAACTTTTGTTCTATTTACAGCCACACATTTCCGTGATCCTCCCTCCCCCATCCTCTGTGAGCAGCAGCAAAACGGCGAAGGAAGATCAGACGGAAGTGCTGCTGACTGATAACATCGCTGTGCCTGCACTGAATTTGGAGGGGGGGGGGACAACGGCCACTGACGGACTTGGGTAAAAACTCGGGACACCTATTAGAGCTAGAAAGGGAGCTGTGTTGGTTAATGCTTATGCTGGAATAAATTATGTTAAGCATTCCCAAACTACTTCTTTCTTTTTTTTTGGGAACCCCCCGAGGGGTATTTTTATTTTTCCAATAAGACTGCAAACTACAAAGAAAATATAGGAAGGGGAACTACAACTATGGATAAAGAAAAGAAACCCAAGAGTGGGAGACCCTCTTTATGTTAAACTTAATATTAGTATTAAAACAGTTAGTAAAACAATATACTTGTACAGTTCTTGTTTTTCACATTGTTCTGTATTAGTAAATTAGTTATCATGAGAAAACTTTCTGAGCATCTTCTTTATTTCAAAGAGCCATTTATCAGAGTCCTTCTGCCCTTACTTCGGCTTTCTGTCTCTAAAATCATAAACAGTTTTCATTGCTCCCGCACCAGCTTAGCATTCCCAAACTTCTATTAGATCTAGGATTCCCGTGGGGAAGTAAATATACTTTCACAAAAATGCTTTTGCCATTGTGGCATTGAGTTAGAAGTTGTCTCCGTATCTGCAGATATCTGATCTGACCATGCTGAGCCATGCTATGGTAACCCTCGAGGCTAGATTACTTCAAACAGAAATTTGAAGGCGACCCAGAAACTTCAGTTGGTGCAAAGTGCAGCAGCCTGTTATTGGAAGCTACATTACACCACTCCTGAAGTCTCCTCACTGTTTGCCTGTCTGCTCTGGAGTCCAGGATAAGGTGCTAGTGCTTTAAAGGTAAGCAGCACAAAGCCCTTCATGACCTGGAGCCCACGTACTTGATGTGATTCTTACAACAGGGTCTCCCTGTCCAGAGTAGGATCCACTACAGGCCTAAAATGGCTCTGTTGCTACCTTGCTGCTGGAGAGCATCTCCCTCCATAAGGGGTACGGCAGGTGCCTGGCTGTGGGGCTTTCCACAAAGGTGTAACACAGAACTAAAAGACCTTAGGGAGCAGCTTGAAGACTATAGATGCGGGCTCCACTTTAGTTGTGCTTCAGTTACTTTATATTGCTACTTTTCTATGGTACTTATTGTTGTGACCCACCTTTGGTCCCAACTATGCCAGGAAAAAAACCTGGGGCATTTAAACAGAGCCACAAAAACAAACCCGCTTGCCTAAAAGCCTGAGAGACTAAGCCTTTAGCCAGTGCCGGAAAGGCTACAATCCAGTGCCAGGCCACCACGACGAAAAATCCCCTGCTGCCTGCTGTTCCGTTTGACCTCTGACAAAGGAGCGGCAGGGCCCCCAGATGAAAATCTCAAAGGAGAGAAGAAATAAAATCTGGATGGAGGAACTGGCAGATGAAGGGGCAATTCTCCTTCTGCAGCCAGAAACCACTATAAAGGGCTAATCTCTGAAACCTGTTTATAAGCAGAGATCCACGACAAGGAACTGCAGATCAGAGAGCCCCCTGCTTTTTTGATTTATGTTCAATGGAGCTGACTCCCAGGGAAGCACACAAGCTGCGTTCCCAGATCCTGTCCCTCAGCTTACAAACGTTAAAGGCACAGCATGAAAAGTGAAGGCGAAGGCAAGGAGCTTCCTCCTCATTTCCCCACCTCAAGAGCCGCCTCTATAAGCCTTCTAAACAGAGAAGGCAGAAACTTTAAAGAGTCCTGATTCCCATTGGGGCCCTTGAGGGCTTAATCCATGCTGTGGAGTTCCCAGACCCCCCAGTCCAGCCACCTGCAATCCCACAGAGCAACAGCTCCATGACACTGGGGTGGATTTTTTTTGGGGGGGGCACCCTGTTCTTCTCCCCTCCACTCTCCCCAATATTAGCAGCACAGGGGCCTCCAGCACCCCAGTTCAGTCCTGTACAAGCCTAGGGAGCAACAGCCCTCGCAATGCTGTTGCTGGAAAGCAGGAGGGCAGGACGGAACAGGCTCCTGTCCCGTGGAGGGCAGGCACTTTTGCTTCCACTCCGCCCGTCAGCCAGGAGGAGGAGGAATGTGCAGGCACTGCACTCATTGTTGCTACTGTCCTGCCCACTGTGTGGGAGGGGAGTGAGTGTGTGTGTGTGTGTGTGTGGGGAATCATATCTCCCTGCACACTGGGGAGTTCCTCTTGGCATACGGACACCTCCCTATTTCCCACGTCCAGACGCCCAAGCTGCTCCTTCCACAAGGATCCCCAGATCCTCCCCACCCTGCTCTCTCCCTCTTTCTCTCGCAGGATTCTCAGGTCCTCCTTCCTCAGGCCCCGGTGACACGGGCCGGATATTGCGGGGGGGAGGCATGGCTAATTGCCCCGGAGGAAACTAACGCGTGGCTGCCCGAGCACACGTCCCGGTCGAGGTCCCGTGGTTCAGGGGAAATGCCAAACAGACGGGTATCCTGCAGCGCGGCACAGAAGACGCGCCGCGCGATCGCAGTATCAATCGCTCTTTGTGCGCATGCGCTGTTGGGCGCTGTTGCGCAACCTGCGGAGACGAACAGCGGCGGGCGGCAGAGGCCCCAAAAGCCCACCGGGAACGCGATCAGACGCCCACCCTTGGTCCGCAGTTTCAGGAAACTAGTACTTCATAGGTACTAGTTTTTAACTCCGCACTTTCGGCAGGGAGCCACGGGTTCACCACAGGAGCACTGCGCTTCCCAGATGCTGGGGTGAGATCACGCCTAGAAAATCCGCGGGACTCCCGTGCCTCTCCCGCGGCAACTTTGCCGTGTGACCGGGGCCTCAGTTGCTTTAACCGAGTCTCAGTTGCTTTTCATGCGCCCTGGAACGGATTCATTCTTCACTGACTCACTGTTGAGTTTTTCTCCTTTTGTTTTTGCTCACTTTACAAAGGCATGTTTTTCTGCATACCTGGGAGCCTGCAGGAATGTGGCCAGACCAGTGTTTCCTCTAAGCTGAGTTCGTGAGAGCTAGCTCACAGTTTTTTAGCCTCCGGCTCACACATTTTTGTCTTAGCTCAGGAAGGAGGGCTCCAGAGCAAACTAATTTCTGCAGCAGCCAAATCGCTCGCTCACGACTTTAATGCCAGTAGAATTTTTTGCTCACAACACTCCACAGCTTAGAGGAAGCATTGGTCCAGACCCCCATCTGGCTTGGGGGTGACCCCACGGTGGCGCTTTCGTGGCGTGCACAGAAACCTACCACTTTACTTTCAGAGGTAGTGATGATGATCTCTGTGGGGACCACAAGCTGCTTTCTCTTCTCCCCTTCCAGGTTGCCCTTGAGGCCTTACTAGCAAGAACTTTCTGGAACAGAGGTCTAAGGGGACTGAAACTGATACAGAGTGCAACAGAGTGCCAGTATCAGTTCTCAAGGGAGAGGATGAAGGAAAAAGAAGTTTATTAGACTTGCGGTCAGGGAAAGGCTTACAAATGACATACAGGGAGCCAATGCAGAAAATGAGAAGGAAAGTAAGACATGAGGGACCGCCTTTCTCCATATGTTCCCCCAAGGGCACTTCGGTCGGGAAGGCGCCATCTCCTGGAAATTGCAGGCCCGAGAGAAGTCAAATTTGCAGCAACCAGGACTAGGGCATTTTCGGTGGCGGCTCCTACCTGGTGGAAGGAGCTCCCGGAGGAGATCCGGGCCCTGCGGGACCTTTCTCAGTTCCGCAGGGCCTGCAAGACGGAGCTCTTCCGCCAGGCCTTTGAGTAGGAGCCGC